AGAATTTTCAAAAGTATTTTATAAGTGTAAAGAGTGCTGCTACAGAAGCAAGACAAATGGATAAGGAATCATCTGCCTCTAGCACTGGTTTCAATTATACAAATGGTGTTAAGTTACCAATGTTCAGATGACAAATCTGAATAAATATTAAATGAATAAGGACATGTGAATAAAATTAAATTTCAGGATCTTAACCAAAAGTCAGTAACACAACTCTATGGAGCTCTTTTTTTTTTAATATATATGAAAGTTTTCTAAATTTTATTTTACCACAGCTTCCCATGAACAGAGAGTGAGGAAGGAAGAGAGTTGAAGGAGATGATCTCTCGAGATTAGATGCCAGTATTTCGAGGGTAGGGTGAGGACTTATTGAGGGATGTAGGCTAAACTGACAGAAGAGACACATTTGGGTGGATGAGGTGGTACTAAAGTTGGTTAGGGCTTCTGCAACTCTGAAAATTGATAAATCAGTCCACATAGAACCAAGAAGTGCTGACAGAAGAGCCTATCAAATGTAGGGAAAATGTCACGTGTGAGAAAACATCAGAGTGACTTTTCTTGCAATGCCTTATCTTACAAAAAAAAAAAAAAAAATCCCACACATTAAGCTCTAAAAAGTTCAGTATCTCCAAATTCCTTACAAAAAAATGTCTACCGCATAATCAAACTCCCAAGTCTTTCTCATGAATCCTATTATGACCAGGGTCAACAGGTGAGGAGACTCCTGAGGAAGACCTCTGGCCAAAGAAATGGGTTTCATGCAAACCTGCTTTGCTAAAACCACGGACAGCCTTTCCACCTTATGCTATAAAAAGGAAAACAGAATAGAAAGCAGGAGGGAGTAGCTGAATCAGAAAATACAGTAGCTGCAGGCCTTGAATTAAAGTCATCCATAATCCCCTCCATTTTTATATATTTCATGATACTTACCCCAAACGCCTGAAGTCTTCTTTTTTACCACCATAGTATAAAATATAATCATTTACAAACTTTGTATGCCTTTGATACTGAAATGCAAAAAATTAAGGACTTTATACACTCAGATATTGGGCTGTGTTTATGACATATTACTGAGTAAAAAAAAAAAAACCAGCATGAGTTCAGCTGGATTTTTAAAAATATTCCTATATGTTCTATACATGCTTATATGATTAAAACAAAATGATGCATTCAAATTGTGGTACTGGCAAACAATACAGAATATACTATAGATCGCCAGAAGAACTAAGAAATCGGTCTCGGAAGAAATAAAACCGGAAAAGGAGGTCTGGTGGTGCAGTGCCTAAGGCATTTGACTGCTAACCAGAAGGCTGGAGGTTCAATCCCACCAGCTGCTCCACAGAAGGAAGATGGGACAATCTACTTCCATAAAGATTCACCACCTCAACTCAATGAGGGCTGCTATGAGGTGGAATAAACTCAGTGACAGTGGGCTCCTTAGGAAAGAGGATAGTGAGACTGTTTTGCTTCACTTAGGACACAGGACACATCATCAAGAATGACCTGTCCCTAGGAAAGGACATCATGTTTGGTAAAGCAGAGGCCCAGCAAACAATGAGGGAAACTCTTGGTAAGACGGACTGACACATGGTCACAGCAATGGACTCACACGTACTAATGACCATGAAGATGTACAGGACCAGGCAACGCTTCGCTTTGTTACACACAGGTCGCCGTGAACCAGAGTCAACGTGACAGCAACTAACAACAACAAAGTACTGAGAGGGCCATACAGATGGATCCATGGAACAGAAGAGAGAACCTGAACCCAGGAAGAGACCTACACTAATACTGTATGCTCATTTTTGTCAAAGGTGAGAAGCAATGCAATGGAGGAAAAATAGACTTTTTGACAAATGGAGCTGGAGCAATGGGATATCCATAAGCTCAAAAAAAACTGAATCTCAACCTAGTTCTGACACCTTATACAAAAATTAACTCAAATTGGATCATGGAGTTTAATGCAAAAAGTTAATACTGTAAAACTTTTAGAAAAGAATATAGGAGAGAATCTTTAGGATCTAGGTAGAGCCAGGCCAAGAGTTCTTAGATTTGACACCAAAAGCACAATCTATAAAAGGAAAAGCTGATCATCTGGGCCTCATCAAAACTTTTGCTCTGTGAAAGATCTGCTGAGGATGAAAAGATAAGCTACAGACTGGGAGAAAAATATTCCAGATAACAGTCCGACAAAGGACTACCATCTGGAACATTACAGAAAGAATTTTCAAAACTCAACAATATAAAAAAGTTCAGTTAGACAGAAGGCAAAAGACATGAACAGACACTTCACCAAAGAAGAATAAAGATAGCAAACAAAGACATAAAACGACACTGAACATCATCAACCATCAGGGAATTTCAGATTAAAACCACAATGAGAGATCACTGTCCAGCTCTCAGAATGGCTAAAATAAAAGACGGCAAAATCAAATACTGGAAAGGATGCAGAGAAAGTGAATCACTCATATGCTGCTGGTGAGAATGTGAAGTGATACAACCATTCTGGATCTTTGTTTCTTAAAAAACTAAACATGCAACTACCATACGACCTAGCAATTACACTGATGGGCATTTCTATCAGAGAAATGAAAACTGATGTTTACATAAAAATTTTTACATCAATGTCCACAGCAACTTTGTTTGTAACAGCTCAAAACTAGAACAACCCACATGTTCTTCAATGGGGGAAGAGTTAAACAAACGGTGGTACCTCCATACAATGGAATACGACTCAGCAATAAAAAGGAATGAGTTATTGATACATGCCAACAGCCTTGATGAATCTTCAGAGAATTATGCTGAGAGAGAAAAGCCAATCCAAACCTAAAGACTGTATGGTTTCATTTACATAACATTCTTATAATGACAAACTATGGAAATGGAGAACAGATTAGAGGTTGTCAGGGTTTAAGGAGAGGATAGGTGCAAGATGGAAGCAAGCATGGCTATAAAAGGACAACATGAGGGTTCAGAGTGCTGACAGAAATGTTTTATATCCTGACTGTATCAATTTAATAATCTGATCATGATACTGTACTAGAGTCTTATAAGGTGTTGTTGCCACTGGGGAAAACTGGATGAAGGGTACATGGGGCCTACCTGTATCATTTCTTACAACACCATGTGAATCTATAATTATTTCAATATAAAAAGGTTAATTGGAAAAAAAAAGAAAAAGAAAAAATAGGTAGCAGGCCAGCTTTGGTCCTCAGGCTGTCATTTGCCAAGCCCTGTCTTACAGCATTAGTTTCACACCTGTAAGACAAAGATTAATTAGTTTCTCTCTCAATTCCCTTCTACCCAATATGCTGGTGGCCAACAAACACATGAGGAATTGCTAATGATCATTAGACATTAGAGAGATGAAAATCAAAACAACAATGAGATATCACCTCACCGCAGCAATGAAAGCAAAATTCAACAAGACAGAAAATAACAAATGTTGGTGAGGTTACAGAGATCGGAACTCTCATACACTGCTGGTGGGACTGCAAAATGGTACAACCATTGTGGAAAATGGTATCGTGTTTCCTTAAAAAACTGGAAACAGAAATAACATTTGAACCAGCAATTTCATTACTAGGAATACATCCTAAAGAGATGAGAGACAGGACATAAACAGACATATACATACCCATATTCACTGAAGCACAATTCACTGTAGCAAAGAGATGGAAACAACCTAAATGCCCATCAACAGATAAATGGATAACCGAACTATGGTACATTCACACAATGAAATACTATGCTACATTAAAGAACAATGAAGAATACGTGAACCATCTCACAACATGGATGAATCTGGAGGACATTATGCTGAGTGAAAAAAGTCAATAGCAGAAAGACAAATATCGTATGAGCCCATTCCTGTAAAAAAGCCAAGGAAGGGTTTGCTTAGGGAAGGGAACTCACTTTGTAGGTTACCAGGAATGGGAGGGAAGGAGAAGGGAAAATTTCAGACTAGTTGGGGGCCACACACTGACTTGGTTAAGGGGAGGGATGGTATGGAAAGAGTCTGTGACCAGCATGATAACACTGGGGAAAGGGAGGACACCAAATTGGACATACAGATGACAGAGGCTAATACCAGTATATTCACAATACTACATTACCGTTAACACCAAACACCAGGCTACAGATAAATGCAGACAACTGAGAAGATCAGATGGGAATCGGTGAACAGGAATATACTCCAGACCAATGATGGATTCAGCTGAGGATAATCTTGCACAGATACTAGTGATACAAAGTAACCACAACCATTACAGAAGCAACAGAAGACAGACTTGGAATAATCCCTCAGAGACAGCCAGACACTTTGGGAGAGAGAACCACCAGATCTGCTGACTCAGGACCATAGTGCTGGGGGACAACAGGCTCAATACGCACAACATAACACATAAAAATCTTGTTCTAAACATACTTTGTTGAGTAGGACTAGGGTCTTAAAAGCTTTCAAGTAGCCATCAAAGATGCAGCTAATGGTCTCCTCTCGTTGGAAGCAAAGAAAAGTGAAGAAAAACAAGGGCATCTGGAAATAAGCAGCCCTACGACATGATGGACTTCGAGACCAGAAGAACTAGATGGTACCCAACTACCAATACCAACCACTTGGGAAGGGATCAAACCTGGAGATCCTGGATAGAGTGGGAGGAAAAATGTGGAACAAAATTCAAAGACACTGTAACGACCAGAATTACTGGTCAGATGGAGTCTGGTAGGACCCCCAAGGCTATGGCCCTGGGATACACTTCGTGCCTGGGATAAAACTCATTCCCAAAGGCTGGCTCTCAGCCCAACAGCAGTAAGACCTACATGCAGGACATCCAACCTGGGGCGATGTACCCACCTACTCTACGGAAATACACCCCTTGGAGCAATCGGCCATGGGGCACCAGAGGGGTAGCATTCACATGGGGGAAAAGGTAGACAGACAGGAGTGCATA